GATGTTTAGATCATTTTAGATGCTTCAGCTAATTTATCCTGAATGCAAAGGAGGGAATTTCATTGGGAGTACCTCACTCTTCTGCTTGATCTAAGATTGAGGATCCAAGAACTTCCAGTCCTTGTCCTAAAACTACACCTGAGATGATTCGCTTTCTTCTATTTAGAAATAAGCAATTTTTAGTAGATTAGGATCATTTCATGTACTTTAAGATTTGGATGTTTTAATAAATGTATGGCATCAAATGATTGAAAGAACTCATAATAAATAGAGATTCAACACTAAGGTTTCATTTGCATAAGTCTCAAAGATTATGTCCTTCTGTGAGCTTTCCCTATCTCTTCAGTATACCTCACATTTTTTTAATCCAGTTTTTCTTCTCCATGGCTGCTGCCTCTGAGTTACATCTTTCCTCCTAGATTTCAGATTAATCTTATCTTAGTACAGTCAGCCTAATGAAAGGTTGTCTAAAGTAAGATTCAAAATGTGTTGTTAGTATGTACTAACAGTGACGTTACAGACTCAGAACACAATCTGGGGTTAAATTCAGGAAGAACAGAGGGTACAACAGTATACATGTTTCATAAAGGACTGGACATCTACAGAGATATGGAGAATATAAGTAACTTTCAGAGAAGAAATATTAAGCTTTCTTTTCAGAGATTAGATGAAGCTAACTGTAGGAACAAGCTAGCATGTAATGAAGAGAAATTGTCAGCCATTTTGTTTTGTGATTTCTTCTCAAACATCTGACAGAAGTTGCTGTTTGACACGGAGTAATTTTCAAGTGAAAACCTTGCCTGAAGTCTGTGCTGCTTTTTTGAAGAACACTTCTTGAAAAATCATCATGCTTTCTGCTACTTTGAGGGGGGAGAGGAGGAGCAAGAAATATTAATTCAGACTTAAGAGATTTCACATATCCCACAAGAGAGTAAAGTGATCCTAATTTAATTGCTGCCGCTCAGATAGGTAGCACAAGACATCCAGTATTGAAGGCTTGTGTCTGACCTTTAGGTTGACCAGAGTGATTAAGTTGGAAAGCCTTTAAATTTTAAAATGGAGAGGAGATACAAAATGTGAATCACAGAGAAAGAGGGAAAATATAGCACTGTCTGTCATCAGCACTGGGTAGCTAAATATTTAAGTAAAGTCAATTTGAGAAAGTATTTTATTTTTAATTTCCATTTTCTCTTTTTGCAGTTCAATGCATTAATGGCATTATTTTCCATCTACTTATTTCATGCAAATTTCTAAAACCCAGAAGAATCCTGTAGCTATTTGCTGATGTTATTTAATGAACCAGCAATGCATAAGTGGTATGTGAGTTGAATCAACAACACTCACCTTGAGCATGATATGAATTACGATGACTTCAGGCTTAGGTTTAAAATTGGTAAAGGACACTCATGGAGTAACAGAACAGTGATTAGTAGTCACAATTATATTTAGAGTTTTAAAGCACCCAATGAACAAAGAAATGAAATCAGTTGCTACAGACAATTGCTACTAAATTTTTGCTGACTAAATCATTGGGGATCATTTGAGACCATGATGATGGGATTCAAACAATTGCGAACCAGTTTGGAACATTTAGGAAGTCTGAAATACATTGTACTAAAGAAGACCTAAAATTAAATTATAGAAATGTATGTATTCTTTTCTTCTAGTCTGTAGATTTCTGTTCCTCCATGAAAGAAAAACCCAAATGCCTGACAGATACATGTAAGGCATCTATCACAGTAAATTAATTCCTCAAATCATATATGCTCAAGTAAATAGCCATACTTTTTTTTAAGTCTGTTTTGGTTTGATTTGCCTGTTTTTACTGTATGTGCTGTTTGAGTGGTTTAATTCATTAAAAGACTTTTTTTACTTGAAAGCAGTCAGTCATCCTCTTTCACCTTTCTTGTTCTGCTGTCCCTCTGATTGTTTTGCACATTTTTGACCACTCTGTTCTGTTGTTCAAATAGTTTTTCTGTCTGCTTTATCTGAATGTCATTTTCTGTTCACTTGCTACACTTTGTTTTATCGGTAGGAATGAGACATTTTGACAAGGTCACCATGTATGACATGTCAGAAAGCTGCATTTTCTTTCAATCTGGGATGATAATGTCTCACTGATTTTCCCTATTCTTATGGTAGAGAGGTTTCTCTTGATATTTCTTGATAGTTTGTAATTTAATAGCACCTGGCCTGCCTTAACGTGGTGATTTAGACATATGAAATAATGCCAACCATGTGTAGAACGTTACTATCTGTGGGATATAGGAAGGATTGTCCTTGTTATGGAAGCTTATTTTCAGTCCTGAACTACACTCATAAGAAAAGAATATTTGCATTTATAGCAGGCCAGTACATTTGAGCGTTGGACTAGATGACTTTTAAAGGTCCCTTCCAACTGCAACTGTCCTATGATTCTAATACATCTGAGAAGTAAAGCTGGCATATGTGGTCTTTGCTATGCAAAGTTAGATGATCTTTTGCACGCTCTGGACGACCACTGAATTGTCTGAAGGTAAGGAGGAAGACCTTGAATTTATCTTCATCTCTAGAAAAGTAACAGGAAAGTAAGAAATACTTCTTCAGTGATTGGATTGGCAATTTAGCAGATACCAATACTAGACCTTATGTGAGGGAAAAATTGTTTTTCTTAAAATAAAACCCAAACCAAAAGAGATGTCATCCACTCACACTGTCTCACATTTTCAAACACTAGAATGGGCGTGTGTCTGAAGAATCTGTCCAGCATTTCAGGCATCCTTCCTGCTTGCATCCAGATGGGAGGTCCAATGGCACGGAGAGCATGGGATGAAATTTATAAAGTCTTCCTCACATCTTCTGGGTTCTTCATATGTCAGCAACTCTTTCTAGCTTTTGGATATGCCTTTTTTTTCCCCCTTATGGACCAGCCAACAGTCTCTCTGTCCTTCCCAAGCTCTTCAACTCATTGTTCTTCACCAGTTTTATCTGCAAGTCGGGTTATCTTGTGAAGCTACTCACTTGCCTGTGGTCTTGCTGACCTGATAACTATGTGCCATTAGCATAGGCCAGTCTTTTGTTCTTGTGCCTCAGCACCTAGATATTCCCCTTCCTTTTTCATTCACACCAACGCCTTTCTATTGCAATTCTCAACAAAGGTGGTAGGTAAGGGCAGTAGTTTCCTTTTGAAATAATATATTTGGGAAATGCTCCCACTTAAGATACAAGTCCTAATGTCTTCTTGTGTTTCTATGGCACTACAGGGACTCTGCTCTTGATTACTTATTCAGTATTCATGAATAAGCCAAACAAATATTTGATTGAAGTATTAATCGAGCTAGAGATCTTTGTATGTGGATTGGAACTAATTTTAGGAAGTTTCATGGTGTTATGGAGCAGATTTATCTAACCCTGTAGACACAGCTTTGTTCAGCTGCAGCTGCTGCTATGTAAGCACTTCATATCAGTAACGATTGTAAGAGATTATTAACTACAGACAAAAGCAATTATTTTAGGGTCACTCATCTTAATCAATAGCTATTTTGTTGTTCAAATTCATCTTCTCCTAATTTAAGTTGAATGAGACAAAAAACCATCGATAAGCCTAGAATTACCTTTCTAATAGTACATGCTTCAAGGCAGGAGTAAAGCTGTTGTTCAGAATGCAGAGGCATCAACTGGCATTGTAACCTGTCTAAAAAGAGTGAGAAAAAAATGCTTATGGATGGGTTGGTACACTGTCATCACCAGTCTTTAAAATTCAGGAAGACTGAAAATTCAGACCTATAGGAACAAGGTACATTACTGTAAAACATTGTGCCACGCCTTTTAATTCATCATATGCCATCCTATTTACACAGAAGTGTTACAAATTAATTACCAAAGAAAGTTCTTGAGCAAAATGTGGCCTTATTACTGTAAATAATTTCCTTTTCCGGCTCTTTTTTTATCATAATGATTAATTTTAATGAAGAGTGTATCTGCTTAAACAGAAAACATGTAAATAATGATGAAAATATACTGTTCAAAATTATCCAAATACGATTTGTCTCATTTTTGTTTTTCACTCACGTTTTCTACCAAAATAGACTTTTTAGGAGCAGGGTTTCTTATAGATAAAAAGAAATATTAAATAGAAAAATGTCAATATAGTTGTTTCCACTATGACAGCTGTCCAATGTTGAAAAAATATTATCTCCTAGGAGCAATTCCTTTAGTTTTCAAACTTTTTTTAAAAAAAAAAGAGTATGATTTAATACTAGGTGGAAAAGTGTTTGTTTGAATGCAGTATTTTCTACTTATATTTGATATTAGGTTGTATTCTTTTATATGAAAGCCTTCTTCTCTTCTTAAAAACTTCAAATTCTCAAGACTGCTTTTTAAACCGTAATAATATCAATATTGTGAAAGCAAATATTCATTGTGTTGCATTTTTGCTAATCAATGTGCATCATGTGCTATTGATCTAGATAAGTATAAAGGTTTTCCAGAAGTCTGAGTCCAAAACTATGTTTGTTAGTCAACTATGTTTGGAAGACTGGTATGTTCATGATACTGAAGAATAAACTGCTGTATTCCAATGTTCTGATGATTAACAAAAAAAAATTTATCTTAGGTAACTTCAGTAAGATCAACAAATTAACATACTCATTAAGACTGCATGCATATAGACTGCTAGACTGCTGACATAATTTCTGACAGTAAACGTTTTCTTTGCAAATCTAGAACACAGGTGATAGTGTTCTCAACATATCATTGAAGAGATAGGGTGTTTCCATTTTGTGGGTAATGAAAGACAAATTGAGTTTCTCAGAATCACATGAAGCTGCAGACAAAGGATAGGAGTATGATTTTAGGGCCTGTGAACTTAGTTTTACCTTATTTCAGAAAGGTTCAGAAAATTTACAGTATTATGTATTCCTCAGCAACAGAATTATACAGCGGTCTAAACCCATCAAAATCAAAAATTCTTCCTGGCTCTGTTGTGCAATTTTAATAATCTGCTGTTTCTTTTTCCACAGGAGTGTGGTTGTACCAGTAAAGAAACCCCCTCCAGGTAGTCTGGCTGTTACCACTGTCGGAGCTGCCACAGCTGGGAGCGGACTGCCACCGGGTAGTACACCTAATATATTTGCTGCAACAGGAGCTACACCAAAAAGTATGATTAATACAACAGGTATTGTCCTTAAATATTTTTGTGAGCCTCATTTTTATTTGTTTGGGGTTTTTTTTACCTTTAGTGGTGTTTTGTTTTTTAATCATCTTTTTGTTGCTGTTTTTGTAGTTCAGAAATAAAACCTGGAAAGATTAAATCCTGGCCTTTATTAGAGACAGTGTTTTCTCTTGGTCTATGTTTATAATCTTTGATAGTGCACATTGAGCTTGCACAGCCTTAAATAAGTTAATACATAGCCTCAGTATTTTTTTGTAAGTGTAGATTAACAGGTAAATGAGATAACTTTTCTTGCTCTCTGCAATAGAGGATCTCTATGTGATACATACCAATTAATCCCTCCTTATGTATCAAAGAAAGAAAAGACAACTTGCTACTTAATAAATATATCATAGATTGTGGAGGTGAATATTTTGGACAATTGATATTTGTCAATTAAAATTATGCCATGATTTTTGGAAGGTTTTTCAGTAAAAAACTACTTAATTTACTCATGTCTTAGCAGTAGTTGTTTATTGTGATCTATAGAAGGAGGACTAGACCTTCTTTTTTAATTATTTATAATAGTAATAATATTTATAATATAATAATAATAGTAATAATAGTAATGCTATTATTTATAATAGTAATAATTATTTATAATAGTAATAATTATTTATAATAGTAATAATTTAATTATTTATAATAGTAATAATAACAGGCTCCTCATGAAGGAGCCTCTTAACCATGGAGAAATGTTTCCATTGAGAAATTAATCCTTACATAGAGCAGCTGATATTTACTTAAACTCCTTTGAAATGTCTGGCTATGGTCTGTTTTCTTTCTAAAATAAGCAAAAGCACTTGAGAGAAGAGCTCTTTTCAAGGATATCACAAGAGCTGAGATATGTGAAAATCTCCCTGGGGTTGCAGCAAATAGAGGGGGAAGCTTTTGGCATCCTTCTGCTATGTGCAGTAATATGAAGACACACTCTTATTTTTGCTTTCCTTTTGCAGATTGCCTTTAATACTGGTAATAGAACTTTGATTTTTCTAAGGATAAAAAAAAAATCTTTAAATCTAATTATCCTGAGGCAGATGCAAGGAATGAATGCTCTGAATAATGTTATCACTTCTATGAACAGTAGCATTTGTATACACAATTCTGTTAATCTTGAACGGATTTCATTTTAGGTATTCTTATGTCATGAAAAAAATATCCTACACTGGAAACCCTGTTTTCCAAATGATACTGACTAGTAGTAAGCTTTTCAGTCTTCTCACTGATGAAAGATCTGAACTGTTTTGGCTGGAATATAGTAGTTCTTGTTTGTAAGTAATTACATTTTAAAATCAGTCATTTTCCCAATACTGTTCTTAGTAGAGGACAGTATTACAGATGCCATTGTACACTGACTGTGGACTAAAGGCTGCTTATTTTGGTAGATCTTATAGCTTTTTTTTTAAATGCAATTGGTTTTGATTCCTAATCTATGGATTAGCTTGATTAAAGGAAAAGTATTGATTCAATAGAATTTCAGCAAGTATCAGATTTAATTAGAACTGTATGTGTACTGAATTTCTTTAGTAAAGCATTTTATGAAGATTTGAATTTTTGAAGGTTTGAATTTTATATTAACATTTTACAAATGCTAAACACATTAATGACAGTTAATAAAAGTATTATCACACTGAAAACATTGAAATATCTATTAGATTAAAGTGATCATTTTGCCCTTTTTAATTAAGGTATGCCTATGGTAGTCAAAACAGTGAATCATGTATGTCAGTTTTTGAGATATATAGATAAAGTATCCAGATACTTTCTGGTTTATATACTTGTAGTCTATGAAATTATTTTTTTTTTTTACTATGGTAAAGAAACAGAATGCAATTTTTTAGAAACACTAGATGTCCTCCCAAACCTATGTACAGTTGTTATTACAGTATGTCACAGATATGCTAGAAATTCAGTTATATCTATGAGGCATTTTCTGTGTTGGACTTGTGTGAAAGGTATTTTTTTCAGTTATTCATGGATTGCAATTGGTGTTTACATTCCACCTGCCATCGCTGTCATAGTCGATGTCACTGTCACAATTTAATGAGATGTATGTTACTGAAGTCCTTTAGTTCTTTGAATGTATCTTTGGGGAGATAGGTTTTCTTCCTTCATCTCTTTATGTAAGAAACTGGCTTTATAAGGTTTTAGGTTGGATTTCTGTAATTCATATCCTGATTCTCACTTCTATGTTAATCCACTAGTTCCAGTTCTCTTCTTCTGGAAGCCTAGCTGGTTAAACAACTTAGCAACTGCATTTTTAAACATCCTTAATGAAGAAATTTTTACTTTGGAAGAAAAAGGGAAGAAGCAATAAAAATATGTATCGTCAATGTATATATGAATATAAATATGTAAATAATATAAATATACACATGCGTACACACACACACACACACACACACACACATATATATATATATGAAGCCTTAATCTTTTTTAAGCTATCCTATTCCCAGTTAAGTTGCTGTGATTCTGAGGCTGGGAGAGATAGCCTACCTTATATTTTTTGTGTTTCTTTCTCGGTATGTTTGGGTACATTTACAATTTGTATTTAGTCCAAATCAGAACACCCAGTGTAAACCACAATCTATCTCCCACTCCCATTATTAAAACAACAGCCTAAATCAGTTCCTAATCTATATCTGGAACTTCATCAGCTACTCCAGTGTCAGCAAGCCCAGCAAATCTTGCTGCATTTTGAAACTCTTTTGAATATAAATGTTCTTAAATGAGCCAGTCAAAATTCTTGTCTTTAATTATTTTGTCATTAAAAATTATCTAAAGGCAAATTAAAAAAAAATAAAAATCATACCTACTGCCAGAAACATTTTCACTATTTGTGAAAATTTGACTTCTCCTTCACTATTGGCTGACTGCTTAAACAGTGAAGAATCCATAAATGCTTTGTAGATCTCTGCAGGAAACTGAAAAATAATATATACCTGTGTAATGCAAAGGACAGTGATGTATCAACTGCTAAAACTGACCAGCAATAAGGACTGAACAATTACAGTTTTTTAAAATTGCCAGAATAATGTCTTTGATCTCTAAACAGGGGGTATCTGCCCCTCATTGCTAACTTGGATAAATCTTGTTGCCTGTCAGCCTCATCTCTGGTAGCATTGCAGTCCCTCAGGCTTTGAACTCCAAGTACAAGACTGTTTGTTGCTACCTCTCTTGCAGTGATGTGTTGCAGAAGGACTGTGCAGCGCTAAACAGACAGCATTTATCACAGCACTCTCACTGCTCATGGCCACGCTGAGCCTTTGCTGGTTTGCGTCAAAGAGGCTGAACTCACAGTACCGTTTCAGCAAACATGATAGATTGGCATTTAGAGTCTAAGTTTAGCCCTTAGCTCTGACCCAGATCACTTAAAGTATAAATGTATGCTCTGTCTGAATCTTTTTTTGTGGTCAGCTGTTTACAACCCATTGAAATGATACCACCACTGCCTTCCCTACTTTTAAGATCTTAAAATTCTCCTTGACTTGAGGAAGGAAACATAAAAACTGTAATAAGAATCTTAATACACCTCAGACACTAATTTCCGCCATTACTCCCTGAAGAGATATACATTTTCTATCCTCTTTGTCATTTTTTAATTTGTATTTTATTTTCTGCCTATAGTTGCAACTGGGCAGTCAAGTGTGTATATACAAATACTTTCAAAAAAAAAAAAATTAAAATTCTGTCCTCCACTCAAGCTTATCTTAAGTATACCTTTATTTTAGAAAGATCTTGCTTTACAGGATGATGTAAAAATGTTTTCAACCTTGGAAAGTAATTTGGGAATAATGAAAATGAGGTAAGGATTTATTTTGCCTGATTTTCAATAGCTTTTTAAGTTTATTATTTTTATAGTAGCTAAATAAGGTATTAATTGGTATGATAATCATATGGAATGGTTTTCATTATTTTATAGTAAATAACACTACTTCCTTACTTAGAAGTAGATTAATAATACAAGGACTATATTAAAGCCTCTAAAAGTTTTGTTTCTTTAGACTGAATTAAGATCTGTGTTTTTTTGGGGGACAGGTGCAGTGGACTCAGGATCTTCTTCTTCCTCTTCATCATCCAGCTTTGTGAATGGTGCTACCAGCAAAAATCTCCCAGCTGTCCAAACTGTTGCTCCAATGCCAGAGGATTCAGCTGAAAATATGAGGTACACAAGTTCTATCTTTTTATATTAATTATAATTTCTCCTCCAGAAGTAGTGTAAAAAGAAAAAAAATAGCTCACCTAATGTGCGTTATTATAGTTATATGCATTGTACTATATGTAACTTTTTGTTACTAAGAATGTATATACTAAAATAACACTTCACTGAAAAGTCTGACTTGCTCAGCTGAAGAGTCTAACTTATTCAAACTCTGCCAGACACTAAAACTTCATTAGAAGTCATTTTTCAGTTAACTGCCTTTTTACTTTGTACGGTGATGATAGTATGAATTGGAACATGTGAGCACAATTAAATAATGGAGTACTAGCAATTGGAAAGAGAGACTCAACCTCTTCTGATCAAGTGAAAGCCTTAGTTAAACTGGAGAGGACAAAACCAGACCTGTATTTGTGCAGCTAACTAAATGATGCATCGGATCTGAGTTGGTTTGGCAAGAGACCCATGCCATAGGGTAGCTAATACCTCTCTTACACTGACTGGCAGCCAGGAAAATGCCTTCTGAAACTCCTACTGAATATCTGGTTATTGTTGTGTACAAATATTCAGTTTTGCTGCAGCACACTCCAAAGACAAATTTTTTACCTTTTCAAGGGGCACACATGTTTGCCCTGTAAAGCTGACACAGGATATACTAAGGAGTGGCCAAGTGTCCCTTAGTTGGCTGGCCACTGCAAGGTATGTTTTTAAGAATTTTGGAGTGGAGAGAGCACACTAGCTGTTTATTAGCTGATCATGAGGTAACAAGCTTAGAAGCTCACGAACAAGAGATTTCATTCCCAAATGAACTAGAAATTACATAAACCTAAATCAAGGGTCTTATGTAACCCATAAGAAAAATATCAATGCTTCAGTGATTTAAAACACAGTGACAAAAAATGCCTTTTTTTTTTGCTGGTCCTATCTGAAGGGTCAGGTGAGTGGTGCAGGTGGAATCACGGCAATGGGTGCAGACACAGGTTTAAGGCAGAAGGACTGTTGGCTCCACTCCAAAAGAATGCAAATGTTCAAGGAGCGAATGACCATTTGTATGATGTTATTTATTGCTTGACAGTTTTATGAGGCAAGTTAATAAAATTGTGGTGTAATTATACCATTCCTTTTTGCTTCTTGTCTTCATATGCTAGGACAATGTTTCTCTGAGGGTGAAATCTTTTTTAAAATTTAGATATGCATATTAAAATTAAATTGGTAAAATTAAATAGGTATGTTAAATTTCAGTTGGATCATTACTTAGTTTCTTTTTCAGTTATTTTAAACAATGAAATGTTCTTGTTTTTTCACAGGCATTTTTAAAGTTTTTGTCCTGGAACAAAGAAAAACTTGAGTTGCACAATCTGGAACGCAAATTTTGAATTCAGAATTTGAACGCAGAAGTAGTTGTACTCTGAGTAGTAACTTAAATTAGTGACTGACATGTAAATAACTTAAAATCTAATCAGCCCAAGGAATGTCTTTTGGGCTTATTTTCCTTTCCTCTGACCACTCCCCCAGCCCCACCCCCTCTGCCTGAGAAACAACCCTGCCTAAGAAACAACCTTTATTTTGATAATATATTATTTTTTGTAATGTCATATGAATTCACTGTGCTTTAGTTTTATGAGATTAAAAGTCAGACTTGTTTGTGGTAACAGAGAGCATGAAGTGAAAGCTAACTTATCTAAGCCTTCCTTTATAGCAACTGCATAAGAAAAGAGCTGATTATGGCTGTAGACTGAGCAAAGTGAGGAGGAGAATGATGTTGGATTTTCAGACATTAATAGTCTTGGTTTGGAGGTAGAGGTTTGGCTTGGAATGAGGTTAGGAAGGTAGCATACTTGCGACTGGGACAGCTTATGCCCTCACCTCTCTTTGTACTTCTTTGTGATCAATTCAAGCAGTAGGTTGTAAGAATTGTCCATAGGAGTCTTTTTGCTCACAGTTTTAAAAGTGTTTCTTTTAATCTGATGTTGCTACTGTGGTCTTTCAATCTTTTCTGGCAAAGTTTATCACCTTTCTATGTATAAATTATATTGTTTATATATAAAAATTATGAATATATACTACATATATTATATATAATATAATAATGTATATAATGTATATTATATATATTTATATATAGCTTATTTTTGGATGTGTGTTGCCTTTAATCTGCAAATTCAATAATCTTGAATTTGGAAGCTATTAAGAGTTTTTTGCCTTGAGTGTCCAGAAATGGAGAGGGAAAAACAAAATATTATTTCTTTACAAAACCCCCTTAAAATATATATATATACATGAAAAATAGTTACATTAATCTCCATAGGGATTCCCTTATGATTGCAGTATACTTTATAAGGTATATTAAAAGTTAGAAATGGCTGTAGAATCAGCTGAGTCACTCCTTTGTATGTGTGAGTACAGGAAAAGTAGTGGATGGGCCGCCTGCTTCCCTAAAAAATTTTTTTGGATATCTGTGTAAATTTATTTCTTCATTTTTGCTTGTTCTTTTTGGAACTGTAGGACCAGAACTCTAGTCAGTTTTCAACATGTAAATGCACCAAGGAAAAGCATTTTTTTCTTCTTTCTCTATTTAAATATCAATTTCTGTCCTTTGATATGCATTTTTAAAAGTACTAACCTTTGATCTCATTTTTTCACAGAATATTATTCCAAATTGACCATTAATGTGCCCATTGTAAACAAGATCGATCGGTTGCCCATTTGATAAGGTGTTTATTAGTAGCTCATCCAAGGTGTTGATTAATAGCATGTCCACACCTCCAATATTACTTGATTCTTAAATAAAAATTGATATTAATTTTAAAACATTTGAATTTGAATTTTGTTCAGCTTTGTCACTAGAGGCTTTACCACAGTGAAATTTACTTCAAATAGTCTTTTAAAACGAAGGCTGGTGATATGAATCCATACTTTAGGGTATTAGAAAATCAATATCTGAATTTCAAATCAAACTGCAGCACACTAAAAGAAAATAAGCTATAGGAGTTCAGTAAAGTAATTTTATGCTAATGAAGGAAAACTTGTAATGTGTTTATAATGTCAGCTTTCTTTTTAAATGTAGGGATCTTCATGTGATCTGAATTAAAATGTCTACATTTATTTAGTGTTTACAGATAGTAGATAAAGTATAAAATTTAAATGTCAGTGATCATTCTCTTAGATTCTGTCAATAAATGTTACTTCTTCCTGTAACTGCATTTTTAAATGCCAATATTTTGGTGCCATAATGCAAACACAAAGAAAACCCAGCAATCTTAAAAAGAAAAGCAAAAAATCTTAGTAGACTAGGGTAAGTATGTAATTTCATTTCCATTTTAAAGTAATAGTTTATTTCTTTAAGATAACGCCTCGAGTTTTTAACCTTGGCATAAGAGTTCCAGAGGGCAAAAGTGTTACCCTCTGTCAAGTTTAAAAGGGAAGAAAGACCCTTAAATAGTACAACCCTTAGCACGCTGATGTTCTCATACTATTACTAGGTTTGTATTCCCAGACAAAGAAATATTATTTCTGGTATTTAAGAAGCAAACAGAAGTCACAACACAGGGAAAAATTAAGGACCATACCATGCTTCAAAGAGTCTCAGCAGGCAGAGAAATATAAATGCCAAGGCAAAGCGATCATTTTCCCTCAAAGTTGAAGAAAAGTATATTGATTCTCTTGGTATCTGTGCTAGAATGCTTTCTCAGATACTTCCTTGCAATACCAAATGTTGAACAAAAAAGCAAGTTGCTTGTGATTGTTTTGGGCGAATAAAAGAGCTCTCTTTTCAAGTTTTCAAAGGTATATAAAATTATGAGATGTGGATAAGCTGAGATAGGTGAAATAGACTTAACTTGAATATCTGGCATTCTTCTTGTCATGTTTGAAAATGAGAGTAAAAATTTTGCTTGTTCTGGAGTACTCTGCAAATGCTGTAAAATTTATGAAGCTGACACACTGCTGACATGGCATTTCCATTTACTTAAAGCCATTTAAAAACTATAACGTTTAATCAAATTATGATCATCCTCTTTTCTAAAGAAGCTTACAGCAACTTTTAAAAACCGGTATGATTTGAAATAATTTTTTAACTTCTATTATGAAATATTCTTCCAATCATGGTCTCTGTTTTTTCACAGTATCACTGCAAAGCTTGAAAGAGCCTTAGAAAAAGTGGCCCCTCTCCTGCGAGAAATTTTTGTTGATTTTGCCCCTTTCCTGTCCCGAACATTGTTGGGCAGTCATGGACAAGAGCTATTGATTGAAGGTACTGTTTCTGTTATAAGATGATATTATTTTAACTATTAGTCTTCTGATATGAACAATTTTTCAGTTTCACTAGACTTTATGTAACTATTTTTGATAAATAATCGGTTCTTAATATGTTGTGATTTCACTTCCTTGCATTTCATTTCATTCAAAGAAATTAAAAGTGATAATTTTGGAACCCCTTTTTCCTTGAGATTGCTCTGTAAAGACACATCCTGTAGCTTAGAATGCAAAAACCTCTGTGTAGTTTGCCTTTCCCTCTTCAGAATAATTCAGTGCTTCGGCCTGACTTTGAGAAAATAGTGAAAAATACAATTAAAAAGTATAATCAATTCTGTTAGAAGAAAGTAAAAGGAAGACCCTGCTCCAACATTATTGATGAATGTATCTGTATTTGGTAGGGATGTTAGTTCCTGAGGTAAGTTTGTTTGATTCACACAGGCAGATAAAGAGTTGTCCCTAGAGGGGAATAAAAAGTAAAGACTTAAAGAAAAGAATCCTTGAACACCTTAAAGGAATTTTTAGGGCTTTTATTTGTTGTCTTTACTACTTCATAGTTAGAAAATTTGCCTCATAAGTGAAGCAGCAAGTAATGCAGAAATTATGCAGAAAGTGCAAATATGGAAATCTCATGCAGAAAGTAATGAATCAGTACTAATGCAGTTAAAACAATGAAGGCGGAATTTGAATGAGCATGCACTGTTCCCACATCGTATATTCAGAGGAATATATTCTGCCAAGTAAACTTTTTCCTTCCAGGATTGTTCTTACACACAGTAGTGGTGTTTATTGAGAGAAAAAGTCTCATTAAGGCAAGGTTTATAATATGTGAAGATCTACACAGAAGAAAATAAAGCTTTGTGTTCAAATTCCAAAACCCCTTCTATTATTCATGTGTTTTATGTAAACATTAGTGTACGGTTTTTTAAGGACTCAGTTATTATTCCTCACAATGTTGGCCCTTGTTAATAGAAATATTTGCATCTTGTAACTGAAATCTTCTAAAGAGCCTTTTCTTTTTTTGTCTTCTTATTGTTTAAAAATACTATTATTTAATAATAGCAAGGAATGGTGTAGTAATTCACAGAAGTTTCAGGTATTTTATACTGTTAATTTTATAGCTGTGAGTAAGTTGCACTTCTCACTTAATGACACCTGAAGTTAATGGTCTGAGATGCACATTGGGATGACTGTAAGATATTTGATGGATTACATTCTTAAATCTCTTAGTGAAGTTGGTTGCATTATCCTTGCATTATCCTTTTCCATTTGGCAATGGATTAATGGTACTATAGTTTTTATACAAAACAACTAAAATTATCTTGGTCTCACCTGAGTTCTTTTATAGATTAAAAAAATTCTTCATCAGTGCTATTCTAATTTTGTCTTTTGGTCAGATTCATAGCATGACCAAGGCTATAACAGTTCCCAGGATATAACAAAGAATGAAAAGCTAGAGGCCACAGGAACCTCACAACTGTACAGCAGTATTTTATCTCACTGCCTGTCCAGAGAAAACATGTTACGTTGGCTGTAGCGTGCTTCTGATAACCACTTGGAGTGTCATTCCAGATTTTGCCCCATCTATGACTCAGCCTCCCAATTCAGTCTCAGAAAACACTGTTTACAAACCGAACACCAAGTTCCAAAACAAGTAGTGTCCTCTGCATCACTTTTCCTTAATGTTATATCTAACCTTCTCTTCAATCACTCTCTCTCATTCCTTATTTGTAAAAACCGGTCCTTTCTTCCAAGATATTGAAATAATAATCTGTATAGAAAAAAATCTAAGCACATCATAGATTTTTACATTGTAGGACTTGAATTTCTGTTTACTCCCTCTGAAATAGTTTTGCTTTTTTACTTCGTAGCAAAGAATTCATAGAGATGCTTTTTTAGTCATTGTATACTTCTCATCTTTTCTTTCTTCATTGCCTGTATGAGACCCTTGATCTCAACTAAACTGAATTTAAAAGAGAATTCTAAATTCTCTCTTAGTCTGATACCTGATTTACTTTGAGAAATTTCCTGTCATTGCTTACTGAAAGCCAGTGGTGGTCCTTGAAGTACTTGAAAGTGCTCTCCAGGTAATGACTCTACAAAACAGGTTTTAAGTGACGTTATTCAAGATACGCGAGTACGTTGAATTCCTGTGGGGCTTTGATAATTGAAATTTGATTTTTTTCCTGGCAAGCAGTAATTAGCGTGACAGTTTTATATGAAATAATTTAATTTGTTGCTTTATATGTAAAGGTTTTAGTTATAACAGTCAAAAAGGAGCAAATAAACTTTATATAATTAAGTCTTCAGGCACTATCTGTTTTTCAAATTAATCACCATTAAAAAAGTAAGTATCTCTTGGGTTCTCTGAAGCATGTCCTTTTTTTCTGATTATTCAAGCTTGACACATAGTAATACCTTCCCTCCTTTGCTGTTTTTCAAAACCTCCTTATGGTATGAAGTCTTACCTATCAGATTTTGCTAAAATCAGAACACTGTCAGGCATCCTCAATGGCATGTGCTTTTTCCTGAAGCCCTCTCTAGTGCTCTTGTGCATGTGTGTGTGTGTGTGTAAGAAATACTAAATCATTTTCAGAACTGGTAAGAATATCCACACTTTTGTAGCTGAGGTTTTGCATATTGGAGAGCACAAAATAAAATGGAACAGAGAACAAAATTCATTTTAATACTTCTAAAACAGGTTAATTATGCAAACCTTCCAGAATATCTGATGCTTTAAGATAGGTGTTGTTATTATATTTTTGGAAATGTGCGTATAACTTAGTTATGATTTCACCTTTTTGTAGTAGTTCAGCTGCCTCAAACTTTTGGTGAAAAATCTTGCAGTCATGTCCTGCCACCTCATCTTCCTTTAGCTTGTATCATCATTCTGTGCCATGGAAGACTGGCTGATTTATTGTTTGAGTAAATTATACTTAATATCTAAGTGGTTTCTTAAGCTTTGATTAGAGTTGAAATGAATAGGCTGCAATGATCTGTTTAGTCTAGACCAAAAACTTAGACCACTCATACTCAAAATTGTTAATTTTTCTTGTTTGTTCATGTAAATTCCCAAATGTGACTGGTAGCAGAGAACCCTATCAAGTAGTAATCTGACATGGCAGAATATATTTATTGGTAAATATATAGATGAGGAGTCATGTATTTACTTACTAAAATGACTTAATTACTAATTACTAAAATAGTTACTTGCTCCTTTTTCCAAAATCAATTCTTTCTCCAAAAGTATCACACTCAACTGAATTTCAAATGTTTCATCAAGTTCTGAGAATATTTTTAAAGTGGAAAATATCCTCAACAGTGGGTTAAAAAGGACTGATTTGCAATTGAATGCAAATAGCTTCAAAAAGAGTGTACCAGAACCAGTCCAACACTGCTGTGGTTCGTCAACTGAGGTTCTTTCAATGCCTCAGAGAACAGAAGTTGCAAAGGTTAAAATCGTCCGTATAGAAACTAATTGGAAACAAACATGCAATATGTGTAGGTCACATAGTTGAGCTTAGCAGTGCTCATTGTGGAGTTCCATTTAACACTTGCACAGATATGTTTTCACTAACTCTGGTTTCCATATGGTCTGCAAATTCCCTCCATGTAAAGTGCATTACAACATTCTAGCTTTTAGGCGAAAATGTTACAGGCAAAGGTAATCTGATCTGTAGACGAAAGAAAAGCTATATCCTCTTTTTGTCAAGCACAGATGGGTAAAAATATTTTCACTACAGCTATTCTTGAGTGTCTTGAACTGTAAGAATAGGTCCACGATTGAAACATAGTCACATAGAATGCTTTCCTTTCTCTTTAGTAAGATACCAAACAAACATCACCAATGCTTTTATTTTCCTATATCTTTAGCTGGATAGAAGGTCAGCCAGGTAGCCCTTCTCCAAAAGAGGTCTTACGAATTCTTCGGCTTACATTTGATATGTTTCTGATACACTCACAGTTCAAATCAAATGAAACAGGGAGTGGTTTTGCACTGATAGGAGCAGAATCTGTTTCTCCTCATTAACTCGCCACATGGCCCTGTGAAAATATTCAGTAGAAGTAGTGGTGGACTAGCTTTGAATGGTGTTTGACAGGAGGCTTCTTGAAACAATTGAAAAATTGCCTAAAACATTCCTTTTGAAACCACAGATAGAACTTGAGTGCTAAATGACACTGCTTTAAAAGACAAGTGTGACATCACTGTAGCGTCTACCAATATTGTGATTAGTTTCTTATTTCCTTGAACAATACTGAGTTTTGCATTAGGAAAACCAGGGCAACCATTTTCCTAAGACACTGTGGTAATCTGGAAATATCCCCTACTTTCTGGGGAACAGTTACTTTTTTGGTGCTTAACACGGCCCTTGGTTTCTCTAAGAAACTTTTCAGAACTTTTGTATTGTGCTCAGGAGCACAACTGCTATAACGTAGGGAAATGCATGATTTTGCAGAACTTTTTTTCTCCTGTACATATGATTTTCTCATTCTTTTATCTCACTCTCCCACATCCGAAATATTTTTGTTTGTGTGTCCAGGCATGCTTTCTTTCGACTAATTAGGCTTGTGGTAATTGCTCTACCAATCTGCAGCACAGCATGTAGCCAACATTCTGAACAAAAGAAATAAATTAATAAATATTAGCAAGTAAAGGGGAAAGGAATAAGTAAATAATGTTATGATTTTTAAATTTGTATTAGCTGGAATTAAGAGCATGCAAATGAAACCTTAAGCTATTCATATTGCTGAAATTTCTATAACCAACTTTTTCATCTTATTTTGCTATTTTTATTAACAGTCTTTATTACGGTGCAGAATTGTTTCTGGCAAAACTAAGTGCTTAGATGGAGATATACAAAATGAGAAGCAAAGACATTCCACTGCAGACATATGTCAAAAAAGCCAGATTTCAACACACTCAGAGGCTGAGTCCAGTTCTTAGGAGCAAAGAACATAGACTATATCTGCAGGGTAGGAGGTGATGGACAAAACCAC